TAAGTCGCATCATGTCTGAAAGTAGTCGTCATTCGTCGTCGAGTCGTAGGAAAGGTCGTCATTAATATAGAATCGTCGTGAATCAGGAAAAGCCAAGGAAAGAAGCAAAAGTATGTGTCGATTCGAGTTGTTGAACTCTGGTGTTGTCCTTGTTGGGGGGGTATCTTCCAAGAAGCCTCTCTAAACCGAACATATGAAAGAAGAAGGAAAAAAGAAAGTTCCAAGGATATCAGCGAAGATTCCATAGAGAAGTTTCTGTCTCGGACTAGAGCCGAGCGTCGTGCATTGCTGCGTGTACGTCTTTTTCTTGAGAACCAAATATGACGGAAGGAAAAAGGCCAAAATAAAACAAGCCGCCTGTATCGAGTCCCTGCCAGTTGTAAATGCATCCAAATACCCGCCCCGGATCCAGCCATGTGGTGTTGTGGTAGATGAAAGAAAAGTCCAGAGACGATAGGAGTTGTGTGAACGACCGTTGAAGAGTTGTTTCCCGGAGAGGAATAATAGACCAAATTCTCCGAAACCCAAAAGAACGCTTGCTATGAAGACAAAAGAAAGATATATAAACAAAAAAAAAACAAAAAAAAAATGCGAGAGGGGATATTCTTAAGACTTGTTCGAAACACCGTTCCTTATGCAATAAACGCCGATATGCCGTGTCCATGATGGATGATAGTTCTATGCCGCTGCGAAATTTGAAAGCTTCAACTTTTCTCCGGGAAACGAGGAAGAGATTGGTGCAGTATTAGTAGCTTGAGGTCGTCACCACTGGATAGCTGTCCTGGGGCCCTGGTTGTCACATAATGGTCGCATACTCTTGGTATCGATCCCAGCCGAAGCCACTCATACCGCCCATGCCGCCCATGCCGCCCATTCCTCCCATTCCTCCCATGCCCATGCCCATGCCCATGCCGCATTGAGCGGGAGCAAGCATGCTAGGAAGAGGAAGAGCGGGAATGGGGGCTGTCACTGGAGGCGAGCTCCAGTAGAAACCAGCAGTGGAGTGAGGCTGGGTGAAGGCGGGAGTAGGCGACAAGTCGCTCATGGTCATCGGTGCCCAGATGGGACTTGTGTTTGAGTCGACCGATGATGTGACACTAGGGCTTGAAGGAAGCACTTGCCATGAGTCGACGGCAGCCAGGTTACCATGGTAGCCAGGTTGTGACCATATGTTGTGAGCGGGAGAGCTGGGCAGCAGTGTGGGTTGTCGGACAACTTCAATAACGCGAGGAGGAGGAGGGGGTAGTAGGGGCTTCATGAGAGCGCTGATGTTGTTCTTGACCTCCTCACTCTTGCCGCAGAGCAGTTCGCCGGCACCCTCCTCCTCAAGACCCTCAAGGGCTGAGACGTGGGTGCGGAAAACAAACTTGTTGATGTCCTGGACAAAATCCTCGTGAAGCTTCTTGCACTGTTGCTCCTTGTCGGTCCAGTCGTATGTGTTGGCCTTAGCATCGACACAGTGGATCTCCTTGTGGTACTCAACAAGAGCATCAATGGTATCTTTTGTGAGCTTGTAGGCTACCTCGTTTCGCAAAACCATGTCGACGTGAACAATGTAAGCCTCGACGTGAACGAGCTCATAGTTCATGATAGCCTCAACCAGGGGGTTGGCAGAATCACGCTTGAAATCGGACTCGGGTGTCTTGGGCAGCATGAGCGATGTCAATGTCCAGATGGCATTTGGCGATGATAGAGTCTCAGTAAGGCATCGCTGATGTTGAGGGACAGAGTTGAGAGGACGCTTGACACGGTTGATGCGCTTGAGTGTTTGTGTAAGCCAAGGCTCGATCTTTGAACCCAAGACGACGTTGACGGATGAAGCCCGAGGAGCGAAGGCGGCGGCCGACGCCGGAAGGAGTTGGACGGGCATGTTAGTGAAGCGGAGGCGGGGCGAAGAAACTCTAAGCGGAGCGGAACGGAGCGGGGGGATATCGCTGAACGGTACGGGAACGGAGACGTTTTAATAAACGTCAAACGTTTGTCGCTGCGTCTATCGCAAAGAATACGGCGCGGGGGGTATCGAACAAGAATATATATATAAAAAAAAGAGATACGTCGGAAGACAGAGCAGAGCAGGGATTCGGGAGTTGTAGATGGGATAGGATAGTACTTGTGCGGGCGGAACGGCGTAGTAATAAGTTGTTTGGCGGCAAGGTACTATAGATATTGTCTTGTCGTATCTTTCTGGGTGAAATCACCTGCTAAGCTGCCGCAACCGAGTAAAAGAAAAGAGAACGTAGGACGAATTGCTCGTAAAGAAGAAGAAGAAGAAGAAGGGAAAAGGGAAAACGGAGGGTGGCAGGTGGTGTGGGGAGATGATATACGGGTTGAGTAAGGCAAGTAAGTGCTCTAACTATAGCGGTGGTAATGGTTGTGTGGGTAAAACTTGAACGGAAGGCGCTGGCCAGGTCTGGGATGGGTATTCCTTTTAGTTTAGTTTGGTACAACTTTGAGCGGGGGGGCTAGTGAGCTAAAAAGCAGCCCTGTATTTTGTAGTCTTTAGTGGTGGCTACAGGTGACGGCCCACTGGAAGAGGGAGCCAAGCCACCTCATCTTTTGCGCTGGCCATCGTCAGTCATCCATAGTTGCATTTTGGAGATGCCTGCAGATGCAATGCACGGCACTGACCACTTCCGGGGTGTCTCGGAGGAGAGGGTGTAAGTATTGTCTAGCGCAGTGTCGTAGGAAAGGTATTCCTCGGAGGAGGCGTGCGGCTGTGTTTTGACCTGCATTGCATATGCTGGCTGACCCAGGTCGGGCAGCCTAAGAGGCAATAATTCATGGCACGGCCTATCTGTACCTTGCGTATTGTCTTGTATTCCATGACAACAACAGGAACAGCGACTGCAGCTGAGGAGATGCATGCCGACGGCACACAAAAATGTTTTCTAGGGTATAATCTACTATAGCATTGGCATTGATTGAGTCACAACCTCAACAGATCCCAGTCTAGGGCAAAAACTTGAACGAGGAAAAAAAGTGTCGTGTGGGTGTGGCGTTGGGTCAAGTACCGGTACTTGACATCGTAGCGACCACATGTACCCACTTCTATTCAGTGTCAGTGTCAGTGTCAGTGTCAGTGCCAGTGGAGGCATCTCTGACTTAGTGATTCTCTTATTCGGACTCATCCAAGACACGACCTCTCTTTAGAGTTGCATTAACATTTCTCTCACAACTTTGTGTTTCCACTAACTAGGATCTCTAATGAATGAATTAATGTCGCATGTTCCTAAATCATCTCACCATTTAACGTCTTACCACACTCCGACGCTTAGACTATGCCATACCCTGTCCTAGCCGCTCTCCTGGCTTTGGCAGGAAACAAGAAACGAAACAACCGCCGGCGCTTCTCCCAATCCCCTGTCTCATCCTGGTCTGTTATCTATTACAGAGTGGTAATTGTATGTGCCGTACTTGAGATTAGTGTGCGCCTTGCTAGCCGATCAAGCGTATGTAGAGTAGTATACGACAGCCCCTAGTTGCTATAGACTGTCGTCGTAACCACACTTGAACATTTACAAGCAAAATCTGAAAAGTGACAAGTTACGTTCCTGCAGCTTCACTAACATGCCACTTTTGTTCGTTCTCACATAGTAACCTAGTTAGAAAATAGGCTAGTTCCTATACAACTCTTACAGAGGTTGACCCGCTTCCTGACGATACTCCCTCTCTACAGTTGCAGTATTATGCGACCTCCTCTTGGGCCGATCAATGGCTCATTACGACTCTTCCTACATTGCCGAAGTTTACTCCTGTAAGCCTGTGCTCCTATGGCATATTCTTCCTAACACATTGACCCTTGCGTGCCGAGTGTTTCCGTAGCTCATAATCACAAGCAAGCGAGGGTGACCTTTGAACTTTTGAAGGAGGGGGTATTTTGAAGCGCCGCTTATGCAAGCTTCAAAATCTAGCAAAGCCTTCAGGGCGGATCTGGCCGGCGTCTCTGTTTCCACAAGAGACATCTGCCGTCCTGCTCATTCGTGCCCTCACGCTGGATGGGCCGAGCAGAGACAATGATGTGCTCCGTTATTCCGTGTTCCACAATCTTCGAGGCACGCACGACTCGGTCCATCACACCCTAATCCGGACTTTGTGAATCGCCCTCGATTGTCCTCGGACGAGCTGACACCTCAGGATCTTCAGCTGAAGACATGGTAATACTGTGATATCAACGACGTGACCATCCTGTCAATGAGGATGCAACAGACGCTTTGTCCAGCCAAGAGCACTGTTATGAGATGACATGCATAACATACGCATAGCATAGCACCTGCCTGCCTACCTGCACTACCAGATGCACGAATGCTCGGCTTTTCGACGTAGTTGCATGAGTTCTTTAGCTGGTTTAGTGACCAATATCAAGCCCACTTGGTTAATGTGAGTCGTCATCCCCCCGCCGTGAATATTATCACTTTTGTCAACCGATGATACCAACTGCACCGTCGCAGACATGACAGTAAACTTGTGGTTCTAGGACCGGCCGACAAGCCTTGATCCCCGTCCTCCGCCCTACTCCCAAGATTGAAGCACATCTAAGGGGCGTCTTCACCCTCAACGGCTCGGTCCCCATCAGGTTGCGGTCGCTCCCGTCGCTCCCGTCTCGTCTTTAAGGAGAAATCAGGTTTCTCACGATGTGGTTGGTCATAAGAGATGACAAGATCCCTTCAAGTTTCCTAAGCTGAGGAGACATGATCCATGCATTATCAAACCCTAGGTCCTAATTACCAGAAAAGGAGAGGACACTTATCCAGATGAGAGGAAGGGGAAGAGCATGGAGGTTAGATCAGGGCCGATGAGGGGGGAGGATGGGAACCCAAAAGACTGGAGAGAAACGAGAGCCCATCGATGGCTAGTACGAACAAGAGCCATCCATGCTAGTGTCAGACGTGAGGTGAGGCTCTCATGGAAGTGCACTTACAGCGCCTGATTGGTTGGTAGAATGAAGCTATGAACCAATCACAACAAAAGACATTTCTCGGCTCTGGTCCCAGCATCCAATCATGGTTCATAGATGGCTCAAGACAAAGAGAGCTGGGGAGACCAGGCAAAGGGTCATGGAGTCGTCGGAAAACCCAATCCTAAAGAGGAATTTGAGTTACTTTGTCAAGTTCAGAAACTCTCCAGGAGGCCCTTGGCCCTTGGTGATGGTTGGTGTTGGAGTCAAAGCTCCATCTTTCCATCCTCGTCCTGGCTCGATCCGTCCGCTACGGGTTGTTGGAGACTCGATGCATTCCAGGGAGCGGGCACTGGGACCGAATATCGACAAGATCCCTGTGAGTTTTCTTGGAGAAATATTCAAGGGGTCGTCTCCGCATAGGAGGTCGGGCAAGTGGTCGCTTTCCCTCCTGTTGTTGGACCTCGTGATACTGTTCTAGAAGCATAAGAGTATCAGACAATTTACCCTTGCATGACCGCGCGGCCAATGGCCATTACCTGAGGCCATGTCTGTCGAAATGAATGATATGTGCGCCGCGTTCACAGACGCGACTGCCAGGCACTGCAATTGATGCTACAACACCACCTAGTGTCAAGTTAGATGGACGGAAAATGGCTGGCTGGGGGGTCCGCTGATCGTTCGGCCGCTTGCCGGATCCCAAGACTCGAGAGGAAAAAAGATTCAACACAGGCACGTGCATCCCCAATATTGTCTTGCAAGGATCTACTAAGGTAGGTAGGTACCGATACCAACGACGGTACAAGACTGTTGTACTGATGAAAAATGAGGAAATGCAGGGTTCATCAGGTACGAATTGGGAGTGCTACTGACCCGGTACTGTGGCGCAGTCTACGTACCCTGTACTATTTTTGGGGTCCAGGAATGCTTGATAGTTACGTTGCCCAGATTTACCCTTTGGATGTTTGGACCATCAGGATGCTAGTTAGTAGCTTTAGGACTGCTGATCTACAATTCTATAAACTACACAAATCTGCCTTTCTCTATGCCCATTCTAATAGCGCATGAATATGCATGCAGGCAGGCACATTGTAAAGTACGACCGAAACGGAGGATCCGCATCCGTCCTCTAGCCGTGGTCGCTCACTCGTAACCTGCAGAAGAGTTTTCTATGCCTTCGTCATAAGTCGGTCACATGAGAATGTCATTCTGTTTCATGGGGCTGCGCAATGTGTGTGCTTGCCAGAAACCCCATGTTTCACAACGTCTCTCTCTGTAGCCGCCCTCGGAGTCTGTAATGCCGCAGTGACGTCGCTCGCTAAATCACGGGACCCTGGAACACGGTTCACTTGTAGGTTTTACACAGATCGAGTTTTTCTTACCGGTGAGATTAATGCACGGTCAGATCAGATGTGGCGCTTGCAGCTGGAATTTGGTCGCTTATTTGGCTGCCTAGTAAGCTGAGCAAGTGTCTGTACGTATAATTTGTATTTTGTGATCATCAATGTGGCTTTGTAGTTGTGTCCTGCAGCATCCGAATATAGGGTAGATGAATCGCTAAGGGAAGCAACCAGGATACCATTTTCGATATCATAATGATGCTTTTAGTCTAGCGTGTTCGGCTCATTGTTGAAACTTCAGTCAAAGTAATTGCTGATGCCAAAAATATCACAAAATCGAGAGATCTCAATGACAGAATAGGACGGGATTGACATCGAAAGACCGGAGCGGCGCGGACCCGAGGACGGCAAAAAGGTCCCACAAAAGCCGACCGGTGACAAGACGGACAAGTCCGATAGTGTGGCTGATCATACCAGGGATGTGATACCTAATGAGGAAGTGGCCCCGGAAGCTGGGGCTTTGAACAAGTCAGTCAAGCACTTGTCAACGTTGACTAACAAAGTCGGTAAGAAAATTCATAGGCAACAGATACAGTATTTTCGCATACCGCCCAGGCTCTTGGCTACGTATTCGCGAGAAAGTACAAGGCATTTTTCCAATTGTCGAAATTTGTGCGTTCATGCTACATACACTCCCAGCTTATGACATTTACCTCTAATGGATAGAGTTTAGGTTGGCTTTGTTTTAGTGTGATCTCGAAATAGATTGCAAGTTATTGTTGGTTCAGCACCTACAAAGGAGTTTTTGAGATGATCTTCAACTAGTGTGACTTTATGGTGGTAGCGCATGTAGTTTATTGTTTCTGATTGTATCTGACATTTCTAGAATAATCACAATTAAGAATCAAAGTAGTCATCTTGATCACTGAATACATACCTGCTAAGATATCTCATCACTTGAAAGTTGGTATGTACCCTGCCAGTGGTTGAGGTAGCATCCCCAACTGTTTGGCGCTCTGGCCAAGTATTTCTCCCATGACGTCGAATCTTTATTCCATCGTCACTTTGATCCATATCGCAACCCTTACCTTACAACAGTGACATGGCTTTCCGGTTATTTCCCTTGCGCTTTGTTCCCTTGAACAGCTGAAATACTACCAAACAACTCACCCACTAATGCCGCTGATCCTAGCTCGGCATTGAAATACTTACAACTATGTTGGAGTAGAGGCATGTCAAAGTCGGACGTGGCTTGCAGATCTCCGGGTGGCTGTGCTCGCTTGTGGCGTGTCCCCCACAAACACGCATTGGGAGGCCTACACTATGACTAGATCGGTGCTACCATCAACCGAGGCAGGTTAGATACTGCTACCTTGGTACTAGGGAGAAAGACCGTTGAGAGAGCCTTACTGATGACTCTCAAGCCTCATGTAAAACGTGGCACCAACAACCGCTCCCTCGGATATGGGGCCATAGCTTTGAAACGTTGACTGTTGCTTTTGCAAGGTTTGAAATATAGAGGATGCCTAAGCTAGTACCGATACTGTACTGTAACGTACCCATTTTGCCATAGTTTAGTTGAGCTATGACCAGTACCATGTAAATAGCATTTTGCCTTTGCCATCTCTCAACATCCATGCTGACTTGGCCTTGTACGTACATACACTCAAAAAACTTACTCACACTGACAGCTCAGTAACAATCCATGTCCGCTCTGCTGGCCACATGACATGGCTGTGGCTCAAGTTTCAATGCACCGCACCCCTGATCCGAGTCACTTTTTGTGCCTTCAATGTGGGAAACAACTTCGGACCTGTTTCATCCCAGAGCCCTAGTTAGACGACACTACTGTACAGTGGAAACAAGACCAACGAATCCAAGAATTGCCGAGGATGGCAATGCCTGCCAAACAGCAACTTTGCTTTACGAGCTAATGTCACTTTGTTGCCCAGATATGCCGTAGCAAGGGGCTCGTTGTTGACTCATGTGGATTAGACTGGACCATGGGCCACAGCTCTATCGAGCCAACCCCCTTGCATACATCTCCTGAGAGATAGCACCTAGTCGTTGATAGGATGACAATATCATTACACACAGATTACAGCTATACCAGTTCGCTTCCAGCTGCAGTACGGTACAATGCAGTATGTACATACATACATGCTCCTTAGTTCAATATCACTCACTTCACTCACTCTCTCACGCCCTGAGGTCTGCGTCCACGCCGCGCGATATCCAATCCGCAATGGCCATGATGGTGATCATGGGATTCACGCCACTTGCGCTGGGAAACACGCTCCCGTCTGCAACGTACAGATTCTCTGTGTCCCAGACCCGACCCTTCTCGTCCACCACGCCCTCGTCCATGCTTGCGCTCATACGGCACGTGCCCATCTGATGGGCCGAGCCCCATGTTGTCGTTGGCGGTTTGTTGCCCACTTCACGTATGCGGGCGAGCCAGGCGGCAAAGGCTGGGTCGCTGGTCTCTGGGTCGGCCACTGGTCCCTGAGAGTCCAGAGAAAGCTCCGACGAGCTCTCTCCGCTACGGAGAAAGGGTTCCAGACCGGGGAGGAGAGGGCGTATCTCAGTTGCTCCCGTGACATAGCAGATCTTAGCCAGACCTTCCACGCCCTGCATGGTATGGGCTCGATCATAGTCTGAGGTAGTATAGTCAATGCGAGGTTGGCCAGTCGATGGGTCTGGAAAGACCCTGCCTCCATCGCGGTCTCTTGTTAGTGAGATCCATGCATCCATGTGACGGTATTTCGTCATATGAAGTTTTGCATTCAAGCCCCCTAGCCATGAGGGTTGAGATAGAATGGTAAACGGCTACAACAAGTCAGAAATGATTCGACAACACTCTCGGACTTGCTACTTACCACCATGCATGTAGTCTCCAGTTTGGCCCCGTAACCACTACCGTCGGTGTTATCGAACTCCGAAGAGTAGCTCGTGATGATACCTCCCTCCCAAGGCCTGGTTTCTTCCTTGTATACTGCTGTGACGAAGTTGCATGGATGTATGTGCAGATTAGCTCCCACATGTTGGTTCTGGATGGATTAGCCAATGGTCACGGTTCGATGCCGACAAGGAAACGTACAGTAATGCCGCTCTTCATGAGAATGAGCGGACTCCATATTGAGCCGGCCGCAAGGATCACCTTCTTGGCTTTGACTACGACCCGTCTCTTGACTCTATCACCAACCGAATCATTCACGCCTCCTTTGCTATCCCTTGAAAGCCAGTCCCCTTCGACACCAATGGCAGCCTGTCCATCAGAATCAAATATGACCTTATCCACTTGAAACCCTTCCATGAATTGCGCACCGGCTTCGGCGGCGTCCGGTAGCCAGCTCGTGGCAGGACCTCTCTTCTCAGCCAGACCACAGCCTAGATGACACTGACCACAAAAGTGCTCTCTGCCACCCGTGTTGACAGGAGCGGGAGATGACGCCCATCCGAGCTTACTTGAACCGTTTAGAAGGACCTTGTTGCGGTGATTATGTCGTATCCGATCAGTGCCCGCCCCCTGAAACTCCCACACGCGGTCTAAGCACTCGTCAAATGCAGGAGATGTGAAGAGAGGAAGCCCGGAATCTGCCCATTCCTTTCGCACAAAGTCCTGGGGCTTGAGACATACACTCCAGTTGACCGTGCCTCCTCCACCCCAAGTGCTGCCAGCAGTCACCGTCGCTCCAGAGTCCTCTGTCGTGAAGAAGCCACCACTATCATACAAATGAGCACAGGCTGCTTCCTGTGACATGGGGAGGTGTTTGGCAGGGTAGTGATAGGCTTTGTCTACAACAAGGACTTTGTGACCAGCCTCTGCTAGGTTTTTGGCAGACACGCCTGCACCGCAACCAGAGCCGACAATGACAACGTCAGTCTCGATGACATGCGGTTCATCATCAGCCTCGATTTGGATGAAACTGTAATCGAACGATTCTTTTGGCTGCCAGTGCTGGGGCGTATCTGAGTAGCCCGATAGCTGGGGCAGGAGTGAGCTAGCCTGTGCATATGACTTGAAGGAGAGCGATGACATTGTTTTGGCCAATGCTGACCAACGCTCGCGAGGGGAGGTGGCCCATGATTTGATAATGGCTTCGCGGACATGGGCAGGCTGGTTGTATATGGGCTGCCAGTAGCCAGTGATGAAGTAGCTGCCCGGACGGGTCCTTTCCAGTATACCTAGCTTAGCTTCCCGGTATATCAGAATGATATTTGATTAAACTCACGACATTAGATTTAATAAACCGGCTAGACGTTTTTGCTGCGCTGGAGGGGAGCAAGCCAGAGTCCTCATGAGATTATCCCTGACGCGCTCGTCATAGGCAGGCCTGTCTTGGAGAAAAGCACGAATATTGTCTCTTGTGGCTGGAGCAGCCAAGGACTTTGTGCTCGTTTCTAGAACATGATCGATTTCATGATCGGGTAGCTGAATCTGGCCCTGCTCGTCTGTCACAGCAGATTCGGAGGTGATGGAAGGCAAAACACCATCGACGAGTGCAAAGAGAACGTCCCATTGAATGGGAGTGAAGAAGTCGAATGGTGGAGCATCCGGTAAAGCCGTGGCAACAGGATGAGGTTGTGGAACGGTCATGATATAATGACGATGAAAATGAGGAAAGTAGTTGGACGAGGGGAGAGTTTGAGACGCTTCTGTCTCACATTCGATTGACACAAGCCCAAAACATACAGGCACAGGACTATATATGCATGTAGATAATTGGGAAAGTTTAGATCCATTTTCTGGAGAACATTTGGCCTGTGCCACTGGACTAACTCGGTAGGCCTAGACTAGGGAAAGAACAGGGGCCTGTTAGCCTACCTGCCTGTCTTTTGCTATTTGTGACAGCTGCAACTACAACTATCGCCATCCATTCCTCCTAAACTTTGGTGATAAAAGTGAGGGGAAGCTCTCCAAAAGCGGAAAGGTTTCCCATAAGTCAACTGATAGTCTGCCATAATAACAGAAATATCCTCGGCAGCGAGACTCAATCTCGTGATAATTGATCCTCGACAGGTTTAGTTTGCGAGGGAAAGCCAGCACTTAGCCAGGTCACAGGGATCACCATCAACCGAGCAGGACAAAGATTCGGCATTCCAGCGCGAAGATGGGTATGTTGCACTGAGACTGAACCTGATACACCATCCATCTATCCATCCATGGTCTTTACAATGAAGCTATTCTTTGTATAATCAATTTATATTTTATGATAGTTGATAGATTAGCAACTAATATTATATATCCATCGCTTACTATCCTTAATCATGTAGTTGGTTACCCAATCATGTCAACTCTTGAATGAGAACCTGCCCCGCCCGGGTATTGAAAGGGCGCCCTCTCTACAAGTGACGATTTACTTGTGATCTTATCTAAACCTGACATTACATATCAAAATCTAGAAATGGAGAAAAGAAAGGACAAGGCAAGAATCCTGCTCGTTGGCTGTGGAGGAATTGGTTGCATGGCTGCCCTGAATCTTGAATTCGGGGGACAAGCTCAAGTGACAGCTGTATTGCGCTCAAGCTATCAGATAGTCAAAGAGCAAGGCTTCACCGTCAATTCTGTCGATCACGGCCAAGTTCGAGGGTTCAAACCAACTGAAAGTAGGTTAAGTTACACCATAACCGCAATCGATTTGACGCCCTACTCTGCTTTGCTGACAATGGTACACAGTCCTATCAGCTGTGCCTGATGTCTCCCAATCCGGTATCTCACCCTTTGACTACATTATTTGTGCCACCAAGAATACCCCAGATGTATCTACGTCTGTAGCCGAACTGATTCGCCCTGCTGTTACGCCCGGTTACTCTACCATCTTACTCCTCCAGAACGGACTCAACATCGAGGTTCCCCTCCTTGAGGCCTTCCCTAATAATGTCATCCTTTCAGGCATAAGCGTCTGCGGCTCATCCGAACCTGAATCCGGAGTCATTGAGCACAACATACACGATGAGCTGCGGATCGGGCCCTTTCGTGACGTGGGCAACGCTGCGGATCGAGCAAAGGACATCGTAGCCCGATACAACGCAGGAGGGCGCTGCACCTGCCACTACGACTCCAACGTCACGCTCTCGCGATGGAAGAAGCTTCTCTACAATGCTGTATACAATCCGGTTGCTGCCCTGACCAGATTAGACACGGGTGATCTACAGCTTTGTCCTGGTCTTGTCGATGAAGTTGTGCGGCCTGGGATGAAAGAGATTCAAGCTGCTGCGGCTGCTTGTGGACAAGAGATTACAGATGAAATGATTGAAGCTACCATTACGACCGAGCCGATTGAAGCCCATGTTCCGCCAAGTATGTTGGTGGATGTCCGAAAGGTACGTAACGCACTCTGCGCCAATGTTAGTGGCCTTGGCTGCCCACACAGCCATCTTTATACCCTTGCTGACATATCTTTAGAGCCAGTACATCGAGTTTGAAAACCTCATTGGAGAGCCCCTTCGTTGCGCAAAGGCCCGGCATGTTGCAACTCCTATTCTGCAGAATCATTATTCGCTGGCAAAGAGTTATCAATGGAAGCTTAAGAGCAAGAGAGCCATTTGAACAACAGTCTAATACGAAACGCTGCTCACTTACTCATCCCAGTGGTTTCAGAGAATCCCGTACTTCTCCGACATGATCTTTGATGTAACTTACACGACTTGAACAAAGTGACTGGCTAGATCATGAATGCTTATACAAATGTAAAAGAAAATCCAGATCAAACGTTGTGAACGTATATTCCAAGTCAAGCTGGGTTTAGGGAGTGTTCCGTGTCACTCTTTCAACCCATCAATTTTCAAAACACAAGATCAGACTATTAGGCGAAAAGCTGTTGCCCACTGGTTGTCTTACCTAAAAAGTTTCTGCCTATACCACAAGTCTTTGTCGTTTTGAAGAGAGACCGTCTCGTGTGTCGCGCGACAAAGTAGTGAGTCAAGGCGTCAGTTTGAGAATCGTAACCAGGGCTCGATCGGACCTGGATCGTAACATTATAAAGTTGTACTATCATATATCCCCCTCGTCTTCCCACATAATACGCCCATGCTGTCTGTTCTTTCCTTCCCTACTCCCCCTTGCACACGCTGTCTACCGGGTTGCGACGGAAAGGTGAGGTGGTACTATCATTTCATGTCGTCTGTTGTACAATGCCAAACCGAGGCAGAAGATGAAATCGTGATTGGGCTTTAGTCCTGGTTGACAGTTTGCTAGAAACGCATTAGCTTCCCTTGCCGATATGCTAGGTTGCCACGGAATACTCACCACAAGCCAATCCATGCCCTCGTTCACACCGCTACCGTCAACCGCCGAACAGGCCATGATGCTCCAGTTGCGATCGCGGAGCTCACCCAGACGCAGCGCTTCCGAGATCTCGCCCGCACCCTTAGCACCAGGCTGGTCTTGCTTGTTGGCAAACACCAGCAGCGCCGCATCCTTAAGCTCTTCCTCGTTCAACATGGCCGACAGCTCTTCTGAAGCCGTGTGTAATCGCTCGATATCGGTAGAGTCCACGACGAAGATGACAGCTGCTGTGTTGGCATAGTAGCACCGCCAGTATGGTCGGATGCTTGTTTGACCACCGAGATCCTACAAAATCGCTCGCGTTAGTGTCTACTGGTATGTTTCGAAGCGAAATGATCGAGGGTTCGTACCCAGACGTTGAAGTTGAGATTCTTGTATGTGACGGATTCGACGTTGAACCCGATCGTGGGTATCGTTGTGACGACCTCGCCGACCTAGGACAGCCGGTCAGTATACACCGTGTGTGCGCAGTAGTCAAGGCAAACGGACCTTGAGTCGGTATAACAAAGTGGTCTTTCCCGCGTTATCCTATGATATCGTTTCGTTAGCGTCTCGGACCAGACAACAGCCGGACAGACGTCATCCTACCAGGCCAAGAATCAATATTCTAATCTCCTTTTTGGAGAATAGTAGGTTTGAGAACCATGACATTGAGTTGCCCATTATGAATAAGTTGTGGTGGTATCTTTCGCTCTGTTGCTCCCGTGGTATTTTGCGTTGTTCGACTCTGTCTTGCGACTCGGTTCGTTGTTTAGATCACTCGTCTCGTTCTTGTACCGGCTTAACAAAGAAGAGGAAGAAGCGGAGGAGAAGCCGTGAAGTGTCGGTCAAGGTCAAGCTTGTTTATGGTTTGTCGTGTGTCTCGTGGCAACACAGATCCAACTTATGTTTACTAAGTCAGTCAGCAGAAAGTACGGGATACGTAATTTAGAGATCCCCTTTTCTGGACCTGTAAGTTAATGCATCCAGGCCGGGTCTTTGATGGACAAGTTGCTCTTTTTGGCGGCATGGGGTTGGTCCAAGCACTAGACAAAATAAACTGGTCCACCTCAGCCTTGAACCCCTGTAACAGTAGACTCTGTATATACATACTTTATATGAACTTAGAGCATCTCAGTAGACTCATTCAAAGTCACAAATGAATCTACCAAATATTGGAAGATATTCATTGATTATGTGCTAGACCCAATTTCAAGTAAAGAATAATCTCAAAATAGGGATGCTTTATTGCCACCATCAAATTCTATTGAGCCACCCAAGCAGATGGCAACCCCTGGAATACAGACACTCCGGCTGGAATGTTACGACATTCTGAAACAAAGGCATTCATCTGAATTACTGGTAACAGCCACCCATTTAACTACATATTCTCTATATCCCACCCACCATGCTTAAAGCGCTAGCTTTAGCCAGCAGAAGCCTTTGTCTCAAGCAGTAAGTGTATTCATAATCTGTCAAAGATCATTTACCGTTCATTCATGTGAACGACTCGAAAGATCTCTTTTCCACTTCAACAAGAACCAACTTAAACCCATATCCTTGTTCCATGAGAGCTAATTTTGTCACGACTTCAAGCTAGTATAGTCACGAGCGAAAAGCAAAGATTAAAGATCCGCTTACCTCAGCAGTTTTTTTTTTGGCCGCCTAAGGCAGAAATATCAGTCATGTGATGCTAACCGCCTCTCTAGGGCTTGGTCGCACTTGCCGAATGAAATTCGTAAACTTCAGAGATTCGATCACCATTTGGCAACGACTGACAGACTCGACCATCAACGCCGTCACCATGCCGGTATGGACAGCCCCTACCTCTACACCCTCGAAGCACGCACGCACGATCTCTCGCACTCTTCATTATCGACGATGTCGCTTCGACTGAATATCTGAATTTTCCCCGCCGTGCCACCGTCGATAATGAGGATGGTGATGATGATGAAAAAAAACTGCGATGCTTCCAGGGCCTTGCTTACACAACACCCGATCGCTAACAATATTTTCTCTACAGAGCCACAAGTCTTTCCGAACCAAGCAAAAGCTTGCCAAGGCCCAGAAGCAGAACCGCCCTGTGCCTCAGTGGGTTCGCCTCCGAACTGGCAACACCATCCGGTGCGTTTAATCCCTTTCTCCGAGCGACGACGATTCACGACTTCGCCCAAAACGAACAAGAAGAGGATCATTTGACTAACATTTCTCAATAGCTACAACGCTAAGCGAAGGCATTGGCGCAAGACCAAGCTCGGTATCTAAGCTACCTCTTCTCAACCGTTGTCCGCCCCCAGCACCCGACTTTCTCTCTCTTGGGCATGGTATCACGATGATGTTAAAGGAAAGGGTGGATTGATTTGTTATGGCGTGAACTATGGGACCGTGTCGTTAGCGCACGCGCATACACACGGTGGGGGATGGGCCGGATGCCTGGTTTATCGATTATCGCGGTTACTGCATGTCACGGACGGTCATAGGGAAAAAGGAATGCAAAAATCTGATGCCCCCAAAAAGAAACGGGCCTGAACTACACGGATGCTGCCCACTTGACCAGTGAACCGCAAGGCAAATGATGCTATGTGCTGTCTTGTTGAGCGGCTGACTGTACACTTGAAGATGCAAATGCCAACGCGAGCTGTGAAAACGAAAGATGCACTTACATGTTGGATGCCAATCTCAGGCACTTGTCTCCAGACTTTCAGCCTTTCCAGTATCGGCTCGTGTTCTGGATTGCGCCTCAACTTGACCATACACTGCACCTCTACCCATACTAATTGCATTATTTGCTTTATTGTGCCAACTACCTACTTCCATGCATTCTCAAAATAGCTAAATCAACCCACGTCACGCCCAAACTCATGGGAATATATTATGCTTTTTAGTCGTTTTCACGTCCAGCCACATATCGAACCACGACGAGCATTCTCAAACATCACAATATTACGGCAAACGTGTATGAAGGTCCTATCTTAAACCTAAGTGATGTTCTATCAGCCCAACAGTAAGGATCTGCCTAGACCTTCCTCTCGACGAACTGCTTCGCTAATAACATCGTAGTGAGCAGTGCTAAAAAAGCCTTTATTGTCGTTCGCGCATGCCAAAATTCTGGCCAAGCAACCCGGAAAACCAAACTCTAACGCCTAATGTGACCCCTGTGACTCATAAAATTCATGCGGTTCAGGACTGCGCGACCGCGATATGAAAGAATCCGCGGCAACACATTTGAGAATCGAAGTGGAGTAACCTTTTCTTCGAGATTCCCTCCTCGATTTTGTTCTGTAGCAAGACGAGGCAACTTAACGGTCCTCAGCCCACTCGTTCTCACGGCGGATCTGCTCCTCCTCCTCGGGGGTGAAATCGTTGGTGATGTTGAAGGTCTTGCGGATCTCCTCTGGCGACTTGCCCTTGATCATGTTGGCAACAGTCTTGCATCCGACGTCGAGAAGGGGCTTAATGTCGAGATAGTTGGAAGCCTGTCATTATATATTAGTGTCTATTCCGATTCCGAGAGGATAGAGATTAATCGTACGAGGATGATCTCAAAGAGCATCTCCTGATCGACCTGCATAAACTTCTGGTCCCACTCCTCGATGTCGGTAGTCTTCTTGCGAGCGTCGGATTCATCATCCTGAGCCTGAGGAGGGTCGTTTCGGTGGTGGTCGCACCACTCGATAACCTTGCGGAGGACAGCCTCGTTGACCTAGATGATGACATGTCAGAGATAATCAAGAACGAACAGTGACGTGAGGTAACATACGTTGGGAATAGGAATGGGGTTGGCCTGGGTGATGGAGTCGTCGCCAACATCCTCGAGCATGTTCTTGATCAGCATTGATCGCTCAGCGACAACGCGGTCTGTTGATATTGTTAGCAGGTTGAGATGAGCAAAAACGTCAGTGTCGCTAACTTACCAACTTCGATGACGGCGCTGTCGTTGGAGGCCAGCCAGATCTTCTCAACAGATGTAGACTCAGACATTTTGAATGCGGTCGTGTTTGTTTGTGGATAATCTGTAGATGTGAGTGTGAAATTTGGGTGCTCGTGGAAACAAAGATGAGGTGAGGTTGGTGATTATTTTGGGTGGTGATGATGGAAGTTGGAGGAAGTGGTAGGTTAGGTAACCAAATGCTAGGTAACCAATCTCTGAGAGGCGGGGTCCAACCCGTTGGGCTGAGCGTGGGGCGGAGTCTCTGACCAACGACGTACCTTGAAGGGACAGGGCTGCGGTTTGAACTTGAAGGACCCTCTGATTTGATTGGAGCTGAGTAAGACAAGTGTCTGTAGTTGCTGATGATGATAGAGGGTATCAAGCAATTTGTAGTGAAAGGTAAGCGTTGATGTAAAACTGACACTGCAGTGCTTGCGTTGACGTTTGTGTAGGTATTGTTGAAAGAAATGAATCACTCTTCTGGGAGGAGGAGACGCACTTTATACTGGAAATCAGATCTCTGAAGCGGCAGTACAGTGGGGTTCAAAGCTGCTGCTGCCTTCAGAAACACCTCGAAAAGAGAACTCAGATCAGAGTCACCAACCTTGTTCAACAAGGCCCATGCACGAGTAACTACTATTAGGCAGATAGGCTCTAAGCTTGTAACATTTACTCTGCATCCTTTGCGAATAAAGAAATTTTATTTTTGGGTTTTGGTATTTAAAGTGCAAAAAGAGCATTTATTGCCTTTTTCTATTCGTTGCATCATAAGAGACGATATTTTGTGTGAATTCTCACCGTGCCCAAAGCATCGTTTCTTTGCATACAGCACGCCTGTCCACGCATGGATATCTAACACATGTGCAGACTTCTCTTTGTATCGTTTGCGAACCCTGTCCACAGTTGAGTTTCCGAGGCCCAAATAGCTCGAAAGGTACCACCATACTCACCTAAGACATGGTTTGGCAACATGTCTTGGAAGAAGTAAAGCCTATAGAAACTTTCCGCATTCTTAGTTGTATAATTGCCTGCATCAGCCTCATATGAGGTTTCAAGGTCATTCCTTGATTGAGTTCGATTGAAACCACAGAGTTGCCAAGCCTACTAGGCCTAAGCACCGAATTCAAGACACCACCGATCCGAGGTCAAGGACAAAGCCAACAGCCAAAACACAAAATTGACATCTTTATCTCATCCCTTGTCTAGGGAACGTTTTTGTTGAGATTTCTTTCAAGATACCATTCGATACATCATCAACAGAAGCTCGAGTTGGTGTGGGGGGTGATACCTCTGATTTGATAGCTTTTCGGTGTCAAAAGGGCACGATTATAAGTCAGACAGTGACATACAGAGCCATATCGTGCAACAAAGGCAGGCTATCCATCCAAAACATGAGACCGAGAGATTCAGCCCATCTTTCCTATCATTCCATCAAACAGATGATGTTGATGGGATTGTGGAAATGTATATGAATGTTTGGCACGGTGATAGGACGACATGGACATGATTAATCCATGTTCATGACACGAATACCTGGTATCCGTACTCGAGCTTGCTCAAGGTACTTCATGGATGTTGTCTTGCAGGAGGATCGTGCGACTCGTTTGCCATACGTGGCCGGGCGTTGAACGATTCGCGGGGCGGGAAGATGGGATACCAACTTAGTTAGCCAACGTGTTTAGACGGAGGCCTGTACTGGCAGCGGATGAAAACAAGCCATGCCGTCAATACCAAGTAATTAGGTCATGATGGAGTAAACGGGACGAGGTGTAATAATGCTTCTCCATTTGCAAGATTACCATCGTCACGGTAATTACTCAAAGTCGGTGGCTGTCAACTGACAAATCAATATCCATAGTCATTTGATATTTGATTGCAATGGGCCTAGCGTTGGTCAGATGAAATAGAAGCTCTACGGCATCCATGCACAAGGCTTAGAGCTTCTGTTTGTGTGGCTTTCTAGAGGTTGCATTCTGGCGTTAAACTCTTGGTTGCTGTAGCACAATGTTGTGTTTCGGGTCCTGATAATGATCATCGCTCGACAGGTCTCAACCACGTTCAGCAACCTATTCAATGCTCAACACTTTACATGCAAGACAATTAATTACATACATTGATCACCTACCCGACACTTGATAGATCGTCCTCAGGAGGCCCCCAGAAATCGCCTCCCCCTGTCTTGGTCTGTTCTGTCCCGCCCGTGTCAGGGAGCCAGGGAGCCCCTAAAAGAAAAAAAGCTTCTAGTGCCGTCCACCTCGTCAATGGATCCCTTCCCCTGGGAGCCCAGAGCCCATAATCAAGGCCCCATCAGATTTAGCTAGCGCTGCCCATCCCGGGACGCGGCGTCTTCTCCCACTGGCCACGTTGTAAGCTGGCGCTTGCCCTTGGCCTGAAATGTTTCCCCCTGTGCCCTGGGGCCTCTGTGTTGATCCATGATGATTGATCCTGGATCCATGAAGACATGAGGTGATGTGTGGTGACACTCTTGAGGTGCTGCATCCTATCAGTGGGGGGCAGCCGGCGTCACTTTCAGAGGTTCCATGATTTACTTACTTAGATAATAAACTTGAACTGAATTTCGAGCTCCATACCTTTTTACCTCTCCCTTTACCTACACCTGCACTGCACTGCACTTACACTCCCACCTAAATTCGACCATCTTCCTCCTCATTCCTTGTTTTAGTTCATTGCTCATTCCTCTTCTTTCTCAGAAGGCCTTTCCAGCGTTGGGTTGTATCTTGAATATACACATCCATCCACCTAATAGACGATCTACCTCTCTCTGTCCTCCAAACCAGCAGCTAGAGGACCACATACCCTGCGCATACGTTACGACCACTGTTTGCTTCACTTCGAATTTAAGGACGACCCGATTCTTGAACATCCTCCCCGCTCTCGAATTTGCGACACATTTGCGCCAGCTGTTGTGTTGATTTTAGACGCATTGCGATTCGACGACCTAACCCTCGCCCTGCGATTTATTTCTGCGGACGCTCGATGCCTTTGCGCCTTGACACTAAGCTCATGATTGCTCTTTCGACTTCCTACTTATAAACAAATTATGTGGCGGCGCACATATCTTACTCTTGTCCTTATCAGGCTGTGGTTTGCGCTTTCACCCAGCTATTTACATCCGGACGAGAACTTTCAAGGCCCTGAGGTCATCGCTGGTACGTTGTTCACTTCCAAGTATTTGGAGAACACGGCGCACAGCAGAGCGCTCTTCCAGGCACCATGTGCGGTGCGGTATAGATGCGGCGCGATCTACATGGCACTTTCGTATTACTGAGAATATAGTCACTAATTATCGAAATCAGGACAAATATTTAGCTAT